CAGGGAGCGGCCGCGACGGACTCAGCACACGCCCGGGCAGCCCCCGGGTGCCGCTAGGTCTCAGCACCCTCGGGCGTGGGGACACGAGTCACAGACCGAGACGGCACGCAAGGACTGAGGGGCTAGGCGCCACCTTGCCGGCTGATCAGCTCTGCTGTTTGTCTGTACCCAGAAATCAAGTGGACGCTCAGAGCTGACATTTTCCAAGCAGCACTTTGAGGCCATGAAGGGAACCTTGAGGCTGCCCATTGAACCTGTTCTCCAAGCTAACCCATGTTGTGGGACAGCAGTGCAAACAGGCTGGGCAATGTCCGACCCAGTGGATCTGTGAGTCAGCACTGGGGTTTGGCACAGGGACCCCTTCCTTTTCACTGCGCCCACCTGCCCACTAGCCAGAATCAAAACCTCATCCTGGCTAAGACGGAAGAGTTACTGTCCAGTATCAAAGCCGCTGAAATAATGAGAGGTGGAGGAGTCCATCCTGAGGCTGGAAATGAGAACTGATCTTTAACTGCGTCCTTGTCCTGTTCCTGCCCTGACGCATGCATAACGTGCCATGCACATTTTTTCCCCGAGTGCACTTGGGGACGTGACTGCATGCAGAGCCATAGAAGGCATTAAGCAGCATGTCAGCCAGCTCATTCATATCTTCTATCACCTGTCACTGGGTGACATTTATTAAGAAACTGAAGCAGGAGATCATTTTTGTTTGCAAACTCAAGTCAGGTGAACAGGTTAGCCAAAAAATCCAAGACTTTTAAGAGCAGGCAGTGTCATATCAATAGCTTGTCTTTTTCAGAGGGACGCAGACTAGATTTAAAAAGCCGCGTTTTGCTAATGGAAAAACATTTTTGTGGGTTAGCCAAAGCTCAGAGATGTAGTGCCTTTGTATAAGTCATACATACAGAGTATTGTCTTTGTATAAATCATAAGTCTGATGTAGTATTGGCAAGGTTAAGGCCTCTCTGATGAGCACTTCTGACTTCTTTGTCCTAAGCTCGTTGATTCTGTACTTCCTTTTGTTAACTGGTTTCATAGTGAAAAGAAATCAGAGGAAAGTGAGGCTGTGGTTACCTCTAGTCAATGTTTGCTTGTTTTCCAGTGCAAGATTGTGAAACTACAGTACCTACTATCTTGGTACCTACAGTACCTTGAATCCTATTTGAAATAAGGTCATAGACTGCAGAATTGTTTTTCCCCTACCACACAATATTGTCCCTTGATTTTCAACACATAAAAGTTAGCTATAGGAAGAGAAGCATTTTGCTAGAGGAAGAAACTATATTTAGGAGTCTTGTTTCTTTTTGACTGTATGTGCCATAGCTCTTTTTCACATTCACCTTAAATGCCTTCACCTGCCTCATTTGAAGGAGACCCATGACCAGCTGACTCCTGGTTTCCATTTCAGTGGTCAGATGCCATTTGTACCCTTCACAGCGTACCTTCCGAGCCTCAGCTGCGCTGAGAAAAATCTCAGATGAGCAGAAACATGAGACACCATCATCGTCCTCCCAGCAACATTTTGAAACGTACCCAACAGGTGACCAGCCTGACCAGGAGCCCCAAGCCTCACGTCCCAGGTAACTGCACAGCCATTACCTGGATTGTTCTGCTGGGAAAGGGACTAAGGAGCTCATTTTACTGAATGTAGAATGCACTCCAAAGTCAGGGATTCTGGATTTAATCCAGAATTTCATACCTGGGAGGCTGGAGTTCTGGCAATGCAAGTACTGTTAGCTATCATAGCAGCAAAACAGGAATAGTTTCCAAGGAAGAATCTCACTTAGCTGCAAAGCACAAGTTTCAGTTTTAGATTGTTGTAAATTTGGCCATTATGGTTTTCCTTATGTCTGTAAGCACAAGATTTGTGATGCGCACATTTCTAGTAAAAAAAAACTGGGAACATTCAAAGTCAAACAACCCTCAGAGAAGCTAGATCCAGTCCTGTCCTATTCCCCACATCCATCCCTCTTTTCTTTACTTTCCTTCTCCTGCATGAACTGAATTGAATACCCCCTTTTCAGAAAGGGAAAGTATCTTAGAGAAAGTGGGGATTTGGTATTAACAGACCTGTAAAGAAAAGCACAGAAAATACGTACCGAATCAACAATGCATCTGCCAGTAGCAATGAAAGAACAGGCTGCAGAACACACATTTTCAATGTCTGATGCTAGGATTCCTTACTTACGTGGTATTTTCTTGTAGTTACACTGGTCATGGTGGTGAAGAGTCTGAGGACTATGAAAGTGAAGAGCAACTGCAACTTCGAATATTGACAGCAGCGCTGGAATTTGTGCCTGACCATAGCTGGACAGCAGATGCTGTTGCGGAGGGAGCCAAGGTACACAGTGAGAGTAACAAAGAACATGTATGGTACTAGTCAAAGTTGCAATTCAAAAAGACCCAGGCCCAAATTCGTCCCTTATTTATACCTGTGAAATCTCACTGACGTCAGCATGTAGGGGAAGGAGTGGGCTGGTGACATAGTGCAAAACCAGTTCACAGTGTATTCAGCAACCAGAAGATAATATCAAAGATAATATAGAGCAACAGTGAAATGGAATCACCGGCATGAGACTGATACAGGAAGCGCTTTATGATGTAGTTTTTTGGTTTGAATTCAAGTGATGTAACGTTTAAAACAAAATAAAGAGCAGCATTCCCTAGCTAGTATCTGTTTGGAAATTACTGATCTCAGTCTCTTCCTTCTGTCCTACAGTCACTAGGTCTCTCTGTTGCAGCAGCTGGAATGTTTAACAGTGATGGCAGTGAACTGGTCCTCCATTTTGTATCCAAGTGCAACTCCAAACTCTCGGAACTACTAGAGCAAGACCAAAAACTGGTACAGCTGGGCCAGGCAGAGTGAGTATCATACATGAAAACATGGCTTCCTGGTGACATGCACATCAGGGGTTCTAGCAGAGGGGTTATCCAGTGACTCCCATTACTTCAGGTGGAATAATGTAAAATGAAACCAGCCTGGGCCTAAGTTTAAGAGACGGGAAGAATGCACAGCTTTCTGTGTCATCCATTGAGGCTAGATAAATATTATAACTTAAGTTCAGTCTCACGTCAGATATCCTTCTTTTTCTTCTTCCAGGAAGAAGAAGACAGATCAGTTCTTAAGAGATGCAGTGGAAGCCAGATTGAAGATGCTGATTCCGTACATTGAAAGTTGGCCCCAGGTACAAAATGAACACACAGGCATTTTTAACTTACTATGACTCTTAGCAGGTACATTAGCCTATCCATCAGGGCAATTCAAAGCTGCATATAAAACCTGTACCAGTTCCCTTGAAGATGAAGGGAATGCTTGGAAGGTAGCAAGTGGCAGACCTACAGAGATGCCCTTTAGCACTTGGCCATTTCCTGCAGTTCCATAAGAACAAATATCCAGGAGTTCCAAGGGATTCAACCTCTGTGCTGAGTTGCTCTTGTAGTCAAATTCAAGTTAGTCTGTTTCTTCATTTTAATTATCTAACACTTTGAAATGTTAAAGTGTTGTTTTATTTCAAACAACTGAACCTGTATTGTGCTAATGGTAAACCCTCAAAAACAGGAGGGCAGCCTGTGATTGTGACAGTTGGTGCTGCTGGCTTATAATTCAAATCCAATTCGTGGATTTAGCCTCTTTCCTCCTGAGACCTAGAGGAAACTAGGGGCTTGATGCAGGTGAAATGTTCTGTTCCCTTAGCAGAGGGTGTTGTTTCAATAGCCACCTTTGTTGGTGATTATGTTTCTAGAGCTTAATCCAGCTGTCCCAAAAGAATGGAAGAAAACAGCATTATTGTGTAATTTAAAATACTCTCTTTTTGAAGAGAGATGGATGATGGTGTGACTGTCACTGAAGTGCATACATATTACATTCTTCAAATAAAAGCTAAAAGAAGAACCCGAATAGGGTTGTTACAAACTCAGCTACTTGGGGATTAGCTGCAAGGAAAAGACCAGTACAAGCTACAAGGTGGTGGGGACAGGATGGTAGCAAAGATACTAAAACATGGAGAACAATTGTTGATTTGTTTTAACACTGCAGGTTTCACTTTTTGCTCTGTCTCTTCCCTTCCTTCTCAGGCTCTCAGCATTCTTCTGCTCCCACATAACATCCCATCCAGCCTAAACCTCCTCACTAGCATGGTTGACGATATGTGGCACTATGCAGGAGACCAGTCCACGGATGTAAGTCTTTACACCATGTAAACAGACTAGTCCACCTCTCAACACTGTATAGCACTATGTCTTAGTATAAAACATTTTTCTTTGCCATGAACATAGGGGCTCAGGAGGGATTTGTAGAAGAATTGTAGTTAGGCAGGTGCCTGTGTGTGCTTTTAGACACGTAAATACTGTAAGAAAATAAAATTAACTCTTTGCAGCCTACGTCCCATTGACTGTCATTGAAACTTGGAATACCAAGTTGCTTTTGAAAATGGAATGTAGATTTCTACCTTGCATGCTTTTGAAAACGTTACCCTGTAGCTTTCCAACTGGTAGTACTTAAACAGAACTGAAAGATCCAAGTTTCTTCAACTTTGTTATAACAACGGTATTCTTAAAAAAAAAAAAAAAAAAAAAAGAAAAAAGACAAAGGACCCAGACAACATTTCTGAGATATTCTTTTAGTCTGTCTCAGTGACAGAAAAACTGATCCAAACATTCATCAGCTGGAAAGAAATGTTTCTCTTCTAGCCGCTTTCTCCACCATTGATGATAGCACGTGCAAATTGTCCTTGAAAATCATTAAAGTATCTACCAGAAATACCAGTAGCTTATTAAAGCCTTCATCTTTCTGGCAGGAAATAAAAGTGAAGTAACTTATAACCTTAATTAAAGCAATTAATAAATTATTTTAATGTATAAGTAGGGGTGGAAAGAGCTAAATGAACCTTCTTAACAAACTACTTTAATAATCTTCACTTATGTGAGGATAAAATAGCAGCTGCTGCAATGGAAAATAAATAAGATAACCGAAAAATTAAAGCAATAAACCAGAAAGCAACTGAAAGGTTGTGATCACAACAGGAAATGTAAGTCCCTTATGTTGTATAAAAGTCATGGATGACATTTCAGAGTCTGTGCCTGTGCCAGGCTGTTTCTGAAAGTCTCCCAATAATCTTGGAGAATATGAAAGAGAGATTCCTAAATTTCAGTTTTTACTCACCTTTGTCACAACCCAAGTGTGTGATTTTGTTTGTGCGCGCTTCGGCACTGCTAAATTATTTCCCGCCACTAGGAGCTTTCTTTGCAGGGTGCATTTCTTAGTTGCAAAGAGAAATGCACGGTGCAAAGGAGTTCCTGCCATTCGCATGCAAATTTGTGTCCCGCTATAGGCCAGTTCTAAATTATTCCCACGTGGCGGCTAGCGATTGGCTTGCTAGCCATATAAGAGGCTTGAGTGGTTTCCGCCCAAGCTGGAGGACTCCACAACCATCTGGAGGAGGAGAACTTCACGTCTCGTGAAGAACTCTAAGCGCTGCGGAGCCTATCGAACCCAGCGTATACCTTGAGAAGGCTATAGGGGTCTGATCAACCTCTGGCCTCTCCCCGTTGCCGAACGATCCCTCGACGAACCCCTTCCCTGCGCGCAAGTTCCACGGAGCCTAGCAAACTTCGTGTGAGTGTATCCAGAGCTCTCTGCTTCGAGTTGTTTTCTTCGGTTGACGCGACGGGCTTGCATGTTTAAAGCCTTCAACCGGATTGGGCTAGAGGTTCGCGTGGAAGGAACTCTTGTCCGCCTCTCTTCTTTTCTGTCTGTAACCGCAACTCAAGCAAGTTTTCCTGCCTGCACCGTGACCATCTTCGGTGTAAGTAAAATAATCTTTAATCAACCGCTAAGCGTCCGTGCCTAATTCTAGCCTGCTGGCCTGCATTCCCCGACCCGCGTACCAGGGCTGCTGGCCACAGCCCGCCGCAAAAGCCCCCAAGGGCCTCGGACCGCTCCCAGCCCGCACAACCTTGAGACAATGGCCATCCATTTGGCAACAGCCTGTTCCAGCTCTCCCTTTTCCCAGCTCTGCATTCTTACTGACAAGTTAAACTTGTTTCTTCTGATTTTTGTTCTTGTAGATTAATTGGTACACTCGTCGGGCTGTGTTGGCTGGCATCTACAACACCACAGAGTTGGTAATGGTGCAGGACTCATCCCCTGACTTTGAAGAAACTTGGCACTTCCTGGAAAACAGAATAGCTGATGCCATGAACATGGGTCACACAGCTAAGCAGGTAATGCTTTAATTGTGGATATATAGGCAGCTGGAGCACACCCTTATCACAGATGGTTTATAAAGAAAGGGATATGGTTCAGCATTAATGCAGAGCAAGCACCCCTACGAACTGAAAGTGTACTGACCACAGTACCAAGCAATGTTGATATATAGCTATTCTTCACTTAACATCATAGTTATGTTCTTGAAAATGTGACTTTAAGTGAAACGAAGTTAAGGGAATCCAATTATATCACAGTTGTTACCTACTAGCAAGCAGTGGCCAAACAACATTTTAACCAAGCATTGCGCAACTTTAAACAAGTATATTCTCTTAATAGATCAGCAGTGTAATAACGAAACAACATTAACCGGGATGACGTTACATGAGGAGTGCCTGTATTTTATGGGCTCGGCAACACTCTGTATACCTCCATGCAACCCCAGCAGAATTGTTACGCTGAGATATTATGTAATGCCAGACTTAAATAACTACCCAGGTGAATTCCTCCCCTACTTCCAAACCACTGCTATGTTGTAACATTTACCTGCCTCTGGGTGTCCCTGGGCCTCCATGCTGGTTGTCCCATGTAGTCTCCCATGCTTCCTGTTCTGTGTCCATGCTCAGATGTTGTTTCACCACAGTATTTGGCATAGGTGACTATTTCCAGTCAGGTAACATGCACTTGCTTTCTCCCACTCCTTTGTAATA